AGAGTAAAAGAAAAACCATAATCATGCAAATATTTTCATAGTTAATAAAGAGTAAAAATACATTGCAATATTTTTAAAAGAAAGAGTTACCAAAAAAATAAAATAATAAATCAACTATGAAATGATAAAAAAAAAATAAGCAGATAAGTGCCAGACTTGCAAGTAGTTAGGGATTATCCACATGCCCAAGTCCTATATAATTTGAGGATATTTCTCGTGCAGATAACCAATGGGATGCAAAGAAAGATTTGCACGACACTTACCTACTTATAGACTTATAATCATTACCTTCAACTCTCCCACTATAAATAGAGGACATCCCTCTCATTTACATGATTAACTGATCTTAGTCTAAAATAGTTTATACTCTCTCTCTCTCTCTCTCTCTGTATTGTCTCTAGATTGTAATTCAACTCGCCTTACACGACCCGATTTTACCCATCTATTAATACAATAACAGTGGACGTATGATTCGCTTTTGAGCATCCGAACTACTTTAAATATCACTTCTCATTTATTGTTTCATTTCATGTTTTCTTATCACGTGTGATTTCTAAGCCCGTTTAGCACTTTACACATGTGAGTTGTTGGTGTCAAAATCAAACATCAACAAAAATTAACTTTGAACATTGCTTATTATAAATTCTAGCGAAAGTTAGTTAAAGTAGAGAACGTTTATACGGAAATTGTGGATTATTTAAAAATTTTATTTTTGTTAGGACTTAGATGGATCTTAACGAAAGTATGAAATTAACTAAATTAATTAAATGTATACGTATAAAAAGTTATTCCGTATTATGAAGTGAATCTTCTCATCCCTAAAATATACAGGATTTCATTGGTTATTGATTTTCAAGGTGATATGAAAAGAAAAGAATCCGATAAAAATTTGACTTTACAAACTAGTAATGCATGACTGGAATAACACATACGTAAATACACCTTGAAAATATAATACCAAATCTAAGGCCTCTGACAACAACAAAAATTTCAAGAAGTTGCTCGCTTTATTTGTTTCTTTCAACAGCCACTACCACCTCCTCCTCCACATCCTCCTCCTCCTCCTCCTCCACATCCTCCTCCTCCTCCACATGCTCCTCCTGCTGCTGCTCCTCCACCTCCACTACGACGTTTCCCCGAGGTGCTGTCACCACAAGCGAATATGACCATGGATATCATTGAGACTGATGCAACCACCGCGCAAAGCAGAAAAAGTCCCCCAAAATTGCTTCCTGCAGGGCCACTACCATCAATAACGAACAACTCTCTGGCCATTTTAATTTGATGTTTCTTTCTCTTCTACTCCTAGCCAGTATATATAGATGAAGAAGCAAGGACTAGTCGTCAATGTAACGACATCCACAAGTTAAATTCAATATTGTGCTGCTTAAGGTGTTTTGTACACTTGTATGAAATTTATCAAGATGTGGATTTTGGAAGCTTCAAGAGTACTGTCGTTTGTAACAGGGCGTGACAATTCAAACACCATGGGACAATGCTTTGAAAACTATATGAAATAACTGAAGTGACTCTCTAGAGTCGGAACAGCATATAGCGTTCACATATAATATTATCATTTGAAGCCAAGCTAATTGAATGTCCTACGAATCTTCCAAGAACATTAAATTCAAGCTGGATTTTGAAGTTTCAAAGTAGATATTTTCATTGAGAAAATTTAAGGAATGACACGAAGAAACGATGTGATTGGTTTGTGCATGGGAGAGGTCTATTAAAGATAAGTCCAAACATGTACAAAACTTGTAGTTCTTCTTCTCCTTATATATATATAATTAGTAAAATTATTTTTTCTATTTTAATTCAAAAAGCATATTACTCGATAACTTTTTTATTTTTAAATGAGAAGAGTCTAAAAAAGGTAATTGATAAGAAAGATTTAGAAATAATGATTATAGATCTTGAAATCCTCATAAAAATCTTTCATTATGAATTAAAATAAGGAAATAATCTTGTAATCATGGAATTAGAATCAATTATGAGGCATTTTAAATATTAGGTGGCAAATTAAAACATATTATTTCCTGACATAAATTATATATGTCATAAATTAGATATATAAGCGAAAAGTTAAAACATATTTTTAATTGTTATATACTTATATCAATTATTAGATTCTAAACATGTTCTCTATTATTATATATATATATATTAATAATATAAAAATGTACAAATTGAGATAAGTCATAACCCAATAAATATAAGTATATATATATAATATATATATATATATATATATATATAAATATTATAATATAATATATATATATATAATATATATTATATATTATATATTATATATATATATAATCACAATAACAAAATATCATTTAAAAAAAAACTAAATATACTTCTTTGTATAGAATCTATCAATAATCATCTACAAAATTAGAACATCATATATATATATTTGATACATAATATCATAATAACATATATATAATACCTAATATATATGTAAATGTTAATATATATTATATATATATTCTTGCAAATAAAAAATTTGGGTCCAAAAAAAAAAAATAAATAGAGTAAAAGTAAAACTATAATCATACAAATATTTTCATAGTTAATAAAGAGTAAAAATACATTGCAATATTTTTAAAAGAAAGAGTTACCAAAAAAATAATAATAATAATAAATCAACTATGAAATGATAAAAATCCCCAAATTCCCGCGGGCTGAGTTCGGGGATTCTCCTAAATCTCCGTTCAGGGACTCCCCTTGGGCCTCGAGGCCAGGCTTGGAGACAGGGGTTCTTGACCTGACCCTTGCCTATCCCTTGGTTTGTAAGATATTTAATGAACTTTAGGGATTAGTTGATATGTATTCAAGCTCGTTTGAATACTCCAGATATAAAAAAAAAAAAAAAAAACATATTAATTAATTGAGATGTGCATAAACAAGCTCGAATACCCGGTTATAAAAAATAAAAAATAAAATTTCCTTTCCTTTTTAATTAGAAAATGATAAAATTATTGGTTCTTGTACTATAATTTAAAACTATCAATTGCATGCCACTGATGATCACAACCATTAAAGGTCAAAATATCATTAGAAATTAAAAAAAAAAAAAAAAATCAATAATATATAATGCATGTGGCTTTCAATATCATCAACAACCACCCTATGAAGCAATGTTGTATTGATAAAAATATTATGAGAATGAGGTTATTTCCCATGTGATGATGAGACTATGCCGCCAATGGTTTCTGGCCTCTGAATTCAACTTTCTAATGAGGTTACTCAAATGTCTCCCCTCCAAACCAGTTTTTGAGATGTCCAAATGCTCTATGGTGTTCACCACTTAGTTGACTCTCTTTCATAATTCAAATAGCCCCTATGTCTTTGACAGCAAAACTGGCACATCTCTCTTCCCCAATTAAATCATCACTTAATGTAAAACCCATCTTCAAACCAACTATAAACCTCTCAATCTTAGAGACCCAGTTGCCAAAATGTCAAAATTTGAAACTGTTCACTCAGATACTCTCTCAAATGATTCTTACTGGCTTTATTACAGACACCTTTGCTGCAAGTAGACTTTTCAAATGCTCCACTGAATTAGACATCGATTACTCTTTCAAAGTCTTTGGTTACATAGAGAACCCAAATGCGTTCATTTTTAACACCATGATCAGAGCCTTTATTCAAAGAAACTCTCCTCAAAAAGCCATTTTTTTGTACAAACTTATGCTGAATGACAATGTGGGTGTTGATAATTACACTTACCCACTTCTTGCTCAAGCTAGTGCACTACGTTTATCCGTTTTTGAAGGGAAATTGATTCATGATCACGTTGTGAAAGTGGGTTTTGATTCAGACGTATATGTTAATAANTTGCAAATAAAAAATTTGGGTCCAAAAAAAAAAAATAAATAGAGTAAAAGTAAAACTATAATCATACAAATATTTTCATAGTTAATAAAGAGTAAAAATACATTGCAATATTTTTAAAAGAAAGAGTTACCAAAAAAATAATAATAATAATAAATCAACTATGAAATGATAAAAATCCCCAAATTCCCGCGGGCTGAGTTCGGGGATTCTCCTAAATCTCCGTTCAGGGACTCCCCTTGGGCCTCGAGGCCAGGCTTGGAGACAGGGGTTCTTGACCTGACCCTTGCCTATCCCTTGGTTTGTAAGATATTTAATGAACTTTAGGGATTAGTTGATATGTATTCAAGCTCGTTTGAATACTCCAGATATAAAAAAAAAAAAAAAAAACATATTAATTAATTGAGATGTGCATAAACAAGCTCGAATACCCGGTTATAAAAAATAAAAAATAAAATTTCCTTTCCTTTTTAATTAGAAAATGATAAAATTATTGGTTCTTGTACTATAATTTAAAACTATCAATTGCATGCCACTGATGATCACAACCATTAAAGGTCAAAATATCATTAGAAATTAAAAAAAAAAAAAAAAATCAATAATATATAATGCATGTGGCTTTCAATATCATCAACAACCACCCTATGAAGCAATGTTGTATTGATAAAAATATTATGAGAATGAGGTTATTTCCCATGTGATGATGAGACTATGCCGCCAATGGTTTCTGGCCTCTGAATTCAACTTTCTAATGAGGTTACTCAAATGTCTCCCCTCCAAACCAGTTTTTGAGATGTCCAAATGCTCTATGGTGTTCACCACTTAGTTGACTCTCTTTCATAATTCAAATAGCCCCTATGTCTTTGACAGCAAAACTGGCACATCTCTCTTCCCCAATTAAATCATCACTTAATGTAAAACCCATCTTCAAACCAACTATAAACCTCTCAATCTTAGAGACCCAGTTGCCAAAATGTCAAAATTTGAAACTGTTCACTCAGATACTCTCTCAAATGATTCTTACTGGCTTTATTACAGACACATTTGCTGCAAGTAGACTTTTCAAATGCTCCACTGAATTAGACATCGATTACTCTTTCAAAGTCTTTAGTTACATAGAGAACCCAAATGCGTTCATTTTTAACACCATGATCAGAGCCTTTATTCAAAGAAACTCTCCTCAAAAAGCCTTTTTTTTGTACAAACTTATGCTGAATGACAATGTGGGTGTTGATAATTACACTTACCCACTTCTTGCTCAAGCTAGTGCACTACGTTTATCCGTTTTTGAAGGGAAATTGATTCATGATCACGTTGTGAAAGTGGGTTTTGATTCAGACGTATATGTTAATAATACATTGATAAATATGTATGCTGTTTGTGGAAATATGTGTGATGCACGTAAACTTTTTGATGTAAGTCCTGTGTTGGACTTGGTTTCGTGGAATTCTATCTTGGCAGGTTATGTTAACGCGGGAAATTTAGAAGAGGCGAAGGATATTTATGATAGGATGCCTGAAAGGAACATAATTGCTTCGAATTCAATGATTGTGTTGTTTGGTAGAAGAGGTTATGTGAATGAGGCTTGTAGGTTGTTTAATCAAATGCCTAAGAAAGATTTGGTTTCATGGAGTGCGCTGATTTCTTGTTATGAGCAGAATGAGATGTACGAGGAGGCTTTGGTTATGTTCATGACAATGAATGATCATAAAGTTATGGTGGATGAGGTTGTGGTTGTTAGCGTTCTTTCTGCCTGTGCACATTTAACGGTTGTGACAACGGGGAAATTGATCCATAATTTAGTTGTGAAGATTGGAATTGAATCTTATGTTAATCTTCAAAATGCATTGATTCACATGTATTCAAGTTGTGGGGAAATAATATCGGCTGAGAAACTGTTCAATGCAGGTTACAGCTTGGACTTGATATCTTGGAATTCTATGATATCAGGGTACTGGAAATGTGGTTCAATTGAAAAGGCCAGAGCTTTATTTGATATCATGACTGAAAAGGATGTTGTGTCTTGGAGTGCAATGATTTCAGGCTATGCTCAAAACAACCAATACTCTGAGACCTTGGCATTGTTCCAGGAGATGCAGCTTCATGGGATTCAGCCTGATGAGACCACTTTGGTGAGTGTCATCTCAGCTTGCACCCACTTGGCCGCCCTTGACCAGGGCAAGTGGATTCATGCATATATAAGGAAGCATGGACTCAAGATTAATGTCATTCTGGGTACCACGCTTATAGACATGTACATGAAACTTGGGTGTGTGGAAAATGCAATGGAGGTTTTCCATGGGATCGAGGAAAAGGGGGTTTCTACTTGGAATGCTCTCATTCTTGGCTTTGCGATGAATGGCTTGGTGGGCAAGTCACTTGACATGTTTTCAGAGATGAAGAAAAGCGGTATAGTGCCAAATGAGATAACTTTTATAGGGGTTCTTGGGGCTTGTCGGCACATGGGCTTGGTAGATGAAGGGCACCATCATTTTAATTCCATGATTCAAGAGCACAGGATGGAACCCAATATTAAGCATTATGGATGTATGGTTGATCTTCTAGGACGTGCAGGTATGCTCAAAGAAGCGGAGAAACTCATTGAGAGTATGCCCATGTCCCCAGATGTTGCTAGTTGGGGTGCTTTGCTTGCAGCCTGTAAGAAACATGGTAACCATGAAATGGGGGAGAGGGTAGGAAGAAAGCTTGTTGAGCTTCAACCTGATCATGATGGTTTCCATGTATTACTGTCCAACATACATGCGTTAAAAGGTAATTGGGATCATGTTCTTGAGGTGAGGGGGACAATGACGCAACGTGGAGTGGTGAAGGTCCCAGGCTGCAGCATGATTGAAGCAAACGGAATAGTTCATGAGTTTCTGGCAGGGGATAAGACACACCCACAGATAAATGAGATCGAGGATATGTTAGATGAAATGTCAAAGAGATTGAAGATTGAAGGTTATGCACCAAATACACATGAAGTTTCACTTGACATTGATGAAGAAGAGAAGGAATCCACTCTATTTAGACACAGTGAGAAGCTTGCAATTGCCTTTGGGCTTATAACTATAAGTCCACCAACACCAATACGGATAATCAAGAATCTGCGAATATGTAATGACTGTCACACTGCAGCAAAGTTCATTTCCAAAGCTTTTGATCGTGAAATTGTGGTGAGGGATCGTCATCGTTTTCACCACTTTAAGCAGGGTTCTTGTTCTTGCCTGGATTACTGGTAGCAGATTATCATACTTGGGCAAATTGATTTATTTACTTTGTTGATGAGATCTCACCTGAAGAACTTGTCTAGTTCTACCAGAGTATGAGTTATATATTCTGTGCAGTTTAGTTGTGCAATGGGTCTCCTTGGCATGGCATTGATAGGATATCTTGCATTCCAGCAAAGCTTTATTGTAGCAACAAATAGCTCACCCGGTAAGGATTTATGCAGCCACTTATGTTGAGAAGTGAAAGCAGGCAGTAATTTTAGTGTGCCATGGTTGAGGACAATTTGGAGGTAAAAACAGTAAATTGTGGATATTTTCAATGGAAAACCACTGCAGATCTATTATTTTACAAAGAGGCCATTTTTCTACGAACTCATTACTATGCTGGACACAAGCATGGGGTTTATATACCATGTTCATTTCTTTGCATGGCACTGGTTTGGAAGATACCACCAAGGATCCAGGTACATGAGCCATTTCTATTATCAACCACATATCTTACTTCATGTTATTGCTTGAAATTAAATCCATGTCATTTTTGTTATGCAGGGTGTTGAGCCAGACTCCTTTATCCAAAGATTGCTTCAGCAAACATGTGACAAATTGGTAGGAGCTTTTAAAGAATATGTTTCCATGGCGAGGATAGGCACAGTTTTAGTATATTGGTATAACGTGATGGCACAAATGTAATTCCTCCAAGCAGATTTGCCTAGCTTTTTCTAAAGTTGCGTCCATTTCTCTTTTACTAATTGAGTTACACTTCTGTTCGAGTTGCAGATTGTCATTCAGCTGAAGTGATTATCTGTAGGAGAAAAGTTCTCCAATCAGTGTCTATCCTGTATCTTGGTGATTGTGATTGTGGGATGTATCGACATCATAATAGTACTTGAAATAGTACCAGCAGAGGAGTCAGGCAAACTAGGCTCTCCATTTGTACATCGATTTAATAAAAGATATTTGCTCTTTATGTGTGTGCATTTTTGGTTTGCTATTCTGGCACTAATATGTTCATTACTGTTACCATTTCAACCAGTTTTTGCTTTTGCAATGAGGGCCTTTGGTAATTCTGCATTTCCAGAATTTGATCAATATGTATGCTGGCAATGAATGTTCTCTTACCAAGGTACAAAATGAACCACTTTCATTTTTATATAACTTTGACAAAACCTTTTGGCAGCTAAGTGGTACAAGATGAGTAACATTGACCGAATACGAAGCTCCCAATGAATTAAGTATTTCTGCAGCTAAATGATACAACAAAAGTAATATTGACCAAATACAACAACAATGAATTAATCAGAATGAATATTTTAGATTCAAAAATGTGCATTTTGCTAATATTGCTTGATATCTTCTTCATCTATCATCATTGACCATTATTTTTTGAATGATGTTACATATCCTAAGTTTCTATCCCGAGTTTTGTATCTCTAGTGATTTGTCATTGTTTGAGAAGGATTTGTAGATTATGTGATCCATGTTGTGTCCCTGAAAAATAATGTAATGTCACTAGCCGCAAAAATTTGAGATTTATAACACTGCCCCTCTTCTTTTATTGACTTTTAAATGGACCAAAAGAATGAACTTCTTCTACAAAGAATTCCGGACCTGTAAACATAAATCTCTTCCATGTTACCAACATAAGCTTGTCTGTGAGGACCAAATGATATTCAGGAGTTCAAACACTTCAGCCAATAATCATCTTAAGGTCTTCTTATCTCTACAGCTTTCGCTTCTTTTCAATTTCCACCATTCAGGTCATGTATTAAGCAGTCTATATCAGGCACATTTTCTGTTTCGCTCATATGCCTGATCATCAGTTCCAAAATTTCGTAGACAGACTCTGTGTGAGAACCCATCTTGTCACTAACAAAAAAACTATAAACCTGGTTCTTCACCTCTATCCAACTCCTCCCAGCTTCTTTCTTGTTTCCCATAAGTTTCATTAGCTTCCTCACTTTCGCAAAGTCTCCCCATTTACCTTCATCCGCATAAATATTTGACAGCGTCACATAAGTCCCCATCATATTTGGCCTCAAATCTAAAACTCTCTGCGCCGCCAATTTGCCCAAATTTGGAAATCTATGTGCTTTACAAGCACTGAGTAGTGTACCCCAAATGGACTCATCAGGCTTGAGCGGCATACGCTCTATCAGTTCATATGCCTCCCTGACTCTCCCAGCTCGGCCTAGCAAATCCACAACACAGCCATATGTCTCTTTATCTGGCTTGATATTGTAATCACCCATCATTGAGCTGAAGTACCTCAAGCCTTCATCCACTAATCCAGCATGACTGCAAGCACTCAGAACAGCCATAAAAACAATTCTATCAGGTCGAACACCTGATGTAACCATCTCATCAAACAACTCAACAGCCTCTTTTCCATATCCATGTGCCCCATATCCAATCATCATTGAAGTCCAAGTGACTAAATCTCTGCGAGACATTTCCCTGAAGATTTTCTGCGAGTCAGATATGTTTCCACATTTGGCATACATATCGATGAGCGCATTAGCCAATGCCAAGTTTCCATCAATGCCTCTGCGAACAATTCCACCGTGAACCTGTTGTCCACACCTCAGGACTGCCAAATTAGCACAGGCAGCTATAATACTAGTAAATGTGAAGCAATTTGGACAGAATCCTTCTGACTCCATCTGTGAAAATATATTGAGAGATTCTAAGGAATCCGTTCTTTCATATCCAGCTATCAATGTGTTCCATGTTATCAAATCTTTTTCAGTCATCTCATGAAAGTATTGATTTGCCTCAGATAAGCCACCACACCTGCAATACATGTCTAGCATAGAATTCATTACTGGAAGATTGGATCCGAACCCATGTTTAGTCACTGCTGCATGTATTAGCTTGCCAAAAATAAGCCGTCCAGTCGAGGTACAAGCTCTAACTGCGATCGAAAAGCTATATGGACTCAATTCTACTTCCTCCTGCTTGCAATAAAATGCAACAATATTAAGCATATATTATATACTACATCTATTTTATACATTTCTATAAAACTACCCGAAGTGAAGCTTTCCTACAACAAAGTTGATATCTTGTTGAAAATTGTAACTCTGTTCAAGCAAGCCTTACGTCCAACTAAATGGGGTCAACTATATAATTTTTTATATGCCATCCTATCTATCTGGAGCCACAATTTCCGTTTAGTGTTAGCAATGACACTTCTATTATGAAGTTTGTCAGGTGAGGATGTCCACAATTTTTTAAAGACCAGACTTGAGCTCTTGGCGAAAAGTTAACTGTTTTCACCAAAACTGATAGGAGCGACATAACTGTCCTTACAACTCTTTCGGTTAGAGTACAAGTCCGAATTTTGAAAGCGGAAGTGTTTTTGAAAACCTCACAATATGTTTGAAAAAAGTAATACTATGATAATTAACTACCCACCATTAGCATTTGTCTGAAGACTCTGAGGCCAGCATAGCCATCACCTCTGTGAGTGTACCCAGTGATCAAGGTAGTCCACGAGACATCATTCTTAATTTTCATAACTTTAAAGACTATACAGGCATCATCCATGAAAACACAGCACGTAGCATACATATCCATGAGTGCATTATCAACATAAATCGACCCTTCCAAGCCTTTCTTAATAGCCAGTCCATGAACCAAAGCCCCATGCAAAACACACTTCATTGCTTTACAAGCTTTCAACACACTTGATACGGTAAATGCATTTGGCTCAACTTCACTTCTAACCATTTCAACCAACATGTTCCACGCATGAGTGTGGTAATTAGATGATGTGTAGCATGCAATCATGGCCGTCCACGTAACCACGTCTCTGTCGGGCATTTCATCGAACAGTGTACGTGCTTCTTTGATTAGGCCCTTCTCGAAGTAAGATCTAATGAGATTTGTAGCTAAAATGGATGGACCCTTTTGTGTTGTAGGTGGTTTTGGTTGGGTATAGGGTTTATGGGGCCATGTAAGAGAGTTCGTGACAATGGGTGGTAATTTATTGAAGTGAAAAGTGGAGGTGGCAGCGGATGATAGTAGTTTCTTTGCGCTCATATTACATGATCATAGCCTGTCCAAATGACTGAACTATTTCTCAAACTTTTACATCTAGTGGGTGCTCCTTGATTGTATAAACAAACTTCGAGATGGACAATTTGAGCTTGTCAAGCCAAGCACATAAGTCGAATATTTTGCCCAGAATTAGAGGACCTTTAACTTTCACTTATATACGCACCGAAACAATTGATAACTTCACAATTCACGAGACTTGAGATGGCTATTACTAGCGAAACAGAAGGCGAAGACAAATAAGGACTCAACTAAAAGGGAATAAAGAGAAGCCATCCCACTTCATCTCTGGTGATAACTATTCGGGGAAAGCAAAACTTGAAACCATAGACCACAATTTAATGGCTATAACTTGAGTCATGGGATTCAAAGACAAGGACCTGAATATATATCAAACTCAAAAGATGTCTGGGTAAAGAGCATCCATGGGAAGCAAATAATCAAATACAATATAACCAATCCATTAATAAATAAATAAATATGGTGAATGTGTAAGTGTAACCATTGCATATAATATAAAAAATACAGATGACCTTGCAAAAGAGCCATGGTAGAATCCAGGGCCTCCCTCTATGCTAAGTCACTAGAAACTTGTATGATCAACTTTTTAGTTAATCAATCGGACGAATAAACCATCACTACTGTACAGTTATGCTGAAAATTCTATATGTTACACTTTTAAGGCTTAAAATTTCACTTTATCAATTCTTTTATTACTATGCCCTAAACTTGTGACTGTACAATACAAAGACACTCTGCCTTATACGAATGCCTTCGTATAAAAATGGTATCTCAGTTAGACGAGAATCTGAGACTTAGCTGCACCACGAGAGCATTTCTTCCGCCCAGTCTTGCTAAGAGCACAGACACAGATCTCGAGAAGTTCGTAATCCTCATCCCAGAATAACAAGGAAGCCATTTCTGGATTCTCCAGGAGCATTTTAGATGTCAAGAACCCCGCAATAGTCCATGTCTGGAAAAGTCGTGCTTGTTTTCCAATAAACTTCCCTGTTCGGGTGTCATAATATTCAGGCCAACGGTCAACTGCAAGCCTCTTTTCAGCCATGTCAACTGCCTTCTGGGCTAATTCAAATTTTCCCATCTTGATGCATGCCAATGTGAACTGAAAATGAGGTAATTATAAATTTTAGAAAGAAAAGCTCAGTTAAAAGACTTAAGATAGAAAGCAATTGCGGATAACACGAGCCCATAAACCAAAAAGAAACAAATTTGGATGCATACAGGAACTATGCGTTACACTTTTGTTTCAGATAAATGAATACACGACCAGAGCTATCGTCCTGCCGTCATGCTGTTTATAAATGCTATCTATCTACTTAGGGCATCATTACATCGTTGACTACGAAGTAAAACTGGCCATTCAATGAATCAACCATAAAATGGAATGTTTAAATACTCAACTCCATACTGATTTAAAAAAAGGGGTAAAAGGGAAGGGTGATTTTTTATGCAACCAAATCCACATACAAAACGGCAAGCAGCTGGGTTGAGCGTGAATAGACATGGATCTACTGGTGGACCTTGTAAAATTATTTGTTCACTATTGTTGTGGGCCACCAATTATACTAGGATGACCATAAAAATACCCAAAAATATAAACATGTATTGAGCTATCCTCAGAAGCCTAAATAATATATGTCAGTGATATCTAAGCTTACCTGCCACAAAAGTGTTGGCCAAGATCCACCATTATGATATGACCAGGGGCTGCAAGGATTTATAAGAAAAATGTATCAGTGTTGATGAACATTTTCAATTGAACCATAACATAATTTGCTATTGCTATAAAAACAGGATATCTACACATACACACATACACACACACACATAAAGGATATATATGCACACATATACATGCGCACATGCACACACATGCGCAAGTGCCTGCAAAAATATACACACAGAACTCACGTGTTCTTTGGATCACTGCCAGTGATAATACGCCACTCTTCATGCTCCACAGCAGGGTAACATATCTTCAAAGGCATATGCCCCACAAGATCATCCCATTTGGCTTCAAAAAGATTTAAAATAGCTTCGTTTTGCTTTGGAGTACCCAAAGATGAAATGATGGACCAAAGGTTACCAAGCGTGAAGAACCTAAAATCCATGTGAGCAGGCTGTAGATTGCCAATCAAATATCCACCTTCCTCTGGTATCCAATCCATTAGCCATGCAGGAATTTGATCAGGATAAATATTGAATTTGTTGGTGGCATCCATGGAGTACTCTTCTGTTTTGTACCGGTATATTTCATTGATCTTCTTCATATCCACCCAATAATATTCTCTTATGTGAAACGATAATGCACTCAGCCTATTGTTGATGGCTCTAACTAAATTTTTGGATCCTTCACTTACTGAGAGCATCTCACGAGAACACCGTAGGGCTGTATAAAACAAGGCCTGCAGAAACAAATTTTAGACAGGTAAGTTCATGATATTGCATTCCAAGCATAGTTCAACTTCATTAATTCGGAATTTCATGTTTCTAATTAATCCCCCTCCCACATTCCATATAGAGCTTTAAAAACTCAAAAAGTTCAGAAACCAGGTATCTCCATCAAACAATTCAACATGGGGAACAGCTATCTCTCAACGGTTTTTCTCATTCACTTCACATAGACAAGTTAAAAGGGTAGACACACCATGGAAAGTATCCTTCTAACTGGCATGCAGATACTCAATGACAACATGAAATACCCAATTTTTAGTTGAAAGGTAAATACATAAAGGACAAGAAAAAGAAAGATGGACTCAAACTCACTTGGATCTCAAGGGGGTGACCATGGATACCCATCCGACGGTCTATCATGCAGGACCCATCAGTGACTAACAAAGAAGGAAACATATCGAAACCATCAGCTAAGCACAAATTCATAATCAATTTTATGCCCGTCTGAACATCCACCCTTTCTTGTAATGCATAGTCACCAGTGATCTTTCCATATGCCCTCAATAAAATAATCCACCACAATCCTATTACAGAAGCATAAAAACTGATGCTATCACAAACAGAAACTCCAGGAATAACTTACAAAAGCACAAGGCAGAAAGTACTAACAGTGTGACATCTTAACTCTTTAAAAGAAAAAAAAAAAAAAAAAAAAAAATCATATTTTGTCAGTGCACAAACCAGAATCTACAGGTGCAACACGACCAATTGCTGATTCACCAAAATCTGGATCTAGGACTTCTTCAAACTTATTGCCATCGAGAGGTACACTTCTGACTTTAAAACTAGCTGGCATCAATCCCTGTCCTGGGCTGTAGCAGTCCACCGTTTTCTCCCAACTCTAAATTGAACATGAAAAAAATATAGTTACTTCAAATTGATCAAATACCATATGGCTAAAATATGCTAGCAATGCAATCAACAGAAAGGGACAATGAACAAAGTAAAACAGATTGTCATCCCATATTTGAGACTGCAGAACAGGAAGACAGTTTGTAACATGACAAACAAAGAATCAGAGATAAATAAAATTAAATCTGACAAAAACTTCCCCTTCAGTAGTTTTGGCAGAAGTTTGCATCACAACTACCAAAATCATCAAACTGATAATTGATAATGATATGCCCTCTTAATATTATATATATATATACCTTCTCTTAAATATGTATCCTCTCAAAATCATGTAAAAGAATAACACAATATAAAACGATCATCACATGAACCTAAACATAAACAATCATGCAATAGAATAATACAATATAAAACCATCATTAGATGAACCTGAACATTAAAAAAACAAATATTCATCATCAGACATAAGTAGCCAAAGCACAAAATAACATATTACAACCACTAAAAAGCAATTACGGTAAACTATGAATTATCACCTGTAACTGCAAGGTATGAAGGAGGAAATTCTTCAGTATTTCCGATTCTCCTCTCAGCAGGAAAGCCAAAGCAGAAGGCACGAAATCACGAATAAACACTTGATCATAATTCAACGGTTGTTTATCATTAAGATCATTAGCAGCCATAGTCCCTACAGGACTCCCACAATACGTTACCACAGATTCTTGCAACAATCTCCATGCCTCCTTTTCAATATCAGTCTCTTCTCTCCTAGGACAAGTCTCAATCCTTGATTTTTTAACACCCTCCAAATTTTTGTCTCCATCGACTTCTTCAACACTACCAACTTCAGCTATTGATTCTTGCCCCCCCACAATGTTTTCATCTTTATCAATTCTCTCAACAACCAAAGGCTTAACATTTATACCATTTTGAACATAAATTCTTTCAAAATTTGTATCATTCACACGAGTCTCAACAGAAGTTGACAAGTTTTGAACTTTAGATGATAACCTACAAACTGCAACGTAAAAACCTCTACTTTTAGTCGAAACACCACTATAAGGTCTTGAAACAACCCTGGTTTGGCCAAAACTAGGGCTCAAAGCGCAAAAACACTTCTGGGTATTGTAGAATATGCGTGGAAAGCTCGAAATTTTAAAAGGGTAGGTTTGGATTTGGTTGTTTTGACCAAAAGTTAAAGAATTTTTGGTTAAAGTGTGGTGATGGTTTTTAAGGGTTGGTAACGACAAAATTGAACCATTCCCACGAGTTCTTAGAAGTCTGCCGGAGAGCTTCATTGTAGAATTTCCCAAAAGAGTGATTGTGTTCATTACAAGGATTGAAGATTTTGATTGAAAACAAAATCAATTGATGCAAAATTGTGTAAAACTTGTGTATCGCTATGTATATTATACAACTTTAAAAATCATAAAAGTATTTGAGAGAAGAAAAAAAAATTAGAACTCACATAAGGAAAAAAGAGAGATATTAGTGCTTTGAGATAAAGGATTTGATGAGAGAAAAATGGTGTCAAATGATTGTTGAAGGAGGAGGATGGTTCTATATAGGTGGCGAGTGGCGATGGAACGAAGAAAGAAGAGCTCAAGTTTTGGGCAACAAGAAAGGTTATTTTCAATTTCTATTTTGCCACCACGCCACCACTAGTCTTTTTTTTTTTTTTCATTGGTATTTTTAGATTTTTCTTATTACAAAATAAAGGTTTTTGAATTTATTGAGGACCCCGGTGTAATTGCATCAAATGTGAAATAAAAAGGGTTCAATTGTGTTTGTAGATTGTCAATTATCAAGGGCTTGATTTTTATGATACCAAGTTCATTCAATTCCTTTTAGACTTATATAGTATATTAATGGTGCATAAAATAGATAATAAAACAACTTTTACAAACAAGCATGGCTTCTTATTTGATTGAACTGAAAAAGCACAAACTAAACCACCCCTAATTTTATGGTTTGCTATGAATTTGTTTTCCACTTGGCTTCTGAGTAAATCTTTCAAAGATTTTAATCAACAAAAACGGTAGCTTTTACTATGCTATATTTAGAAAAAATTCATTGTTTATAGGCTTCTATTTAGTGGAGACAATAGAGAGATAGTGCTGGTGATGTGTCAAGGGATAGCAATCCATTGCCTCAAGTATCAGCAACCACCACTAAACAACTAAGGATACGTTTGGTTTATTATTTTGGATAGGATTTTGGGGATAGTATTGGATAATTGAATATGGGAGTATTACGAGGTAAAATTTAAAAATTTATAAAAAAAACTCTATAAGTTTGCTAATTTAATAAATACCCTAACATGTAAAATTACAAAAATACCCCACTACCTGCAATGCCAGATTCTGACCACCACCGTCGGAATCTGATCGAAAAATCGCGTTACGACACAGACCGATCGGATCTGTGTCGTATCGCGATGTTATGGCCTTTTCCAGCCAGATCCACCACGGATCTGGCCTAAAAAGGCCAGATCTATGGCCTGTCGTGGCCATCGACGGTTGAAAAAGGCCAAAACGACAGCCATCTTTGGCTGTCGTTTTTGGTCAACGATGGCCAAGATTTGGCCGTCGTTGACGGCCAGATCGGTGAATTACCGTCCAGTTCTGGTCCAATCGGTAATTCACCGTTGTGGCAGATTCCGGCTGCCACCGACGGTAGTTGCCGGAATTTGACAAGTATGTGTCACGGGGGTGTTTTTATTAATTTTTAAACTTTTTTTTCAGTGGGTATTTAATGAAATTAATAACCTTTTGGGGTCTAAAAGTAATTAAAAAAATAGGGTAATATTTTTAGAATAATGTGCCAAACATTATTTGGAGAATATGATTGGGAATATGGATAATAATAATAAGCCAAACATGCCCTAAGCTTCTTTTCCACCACTAACATCTTGCCACATTTCATCCCTTTTGTGGAGTTTTTGGATCCTGTTTCATTTCATTGCAAGACTATCAGAAAGTGTACAAGAAACAAGATCGCTTTTATTTCTAAGCGGAAAAAGTGCACTGAAAATAGATAACAAATCATACGTATTAAGCCTTATCCACAATTGCTCAATACATTTAGCTTTCAATTGACATCGGCAATCACAGCCAAGTATATCAATAAGCACATGATGGTTTTTGAGAATGGAATGGACCAAAGGCTTATGGTTGTTCAACAATGAACAAGATTAGAGATCACTTTTGGAGTAAATCAAACAGTATGTTTTCTAAGTGGGTTCATATCATATTGAATTTGCACAAACCAAATTTTGAAACCAAGCTTGCATTTCTTCTAGCATTCCCATTGCCTGTTCACATTTCACTATGTGTTGATGCATCTTATAGCTTACTTCAAAGATGATGAATTAAATATCATATATAAATCTCATGAGTTGATCCTTTACTTAAGTGGAGAATTTGGCAAATTTACCATAAAGGCTTACCTCATCTTATCCGAACTCCACAAACTGTATGTAATTACTTTACCTTGTCATGACAGGTTGAATGAGAGGCTGTGGATAGAAGAAAAAGTGAAGTGGGTCATTGTCTTATCCTGTCCTGACTGTAGAGAGAGGTGAAGAAAGGAAGTTGGGAGTTGGGCAGAGCTAAAACCCAAAACATTAACTCTAAAGTTTCGCCACCAACATGGCAACAGTGGTGGTGCTACAGCAGCAACCGCACCCTTCTTTCTCCATCCTCACTTCTTCTCTCTCTGACTTCAATGGCGCCAGACTCCACAACAATATTCCATGGCATCACTCTCCCCTGCCGAAAGCGGCACTTCAAGTTACAGCATCAAGACTCCTTGTCAAAGATGGTCATCAGGTATTAACAATCTCTTTCATTACTGTTTACTGCTTTTGCAGTTATTTTTTTTTTTTTTTTCACATTGTTGAGGACGTCGAGTTCAATTGTTTGAGCAACTTGATAATCTGCAATATATTATCTGTTCTGGATGATGACTTTGTTTAGTAGATGGAAATTCAGCACCAATTACCCGACAAGTTCCTGGTGAATGAGTCTAGGATTATGCTGATTGTTCTGCTTAAAATTGTGTTAAGGGTTTATTAACTTTGATTTCATAGATATGCAAGAACTGAATTCAGGGTTTTCTTTTTTTCATTTTCAGTAATTCAATAATCATTTATATCATACTACATATAATGCCACTATACTTCATTGTCAAATGAAGAAACTTGCTCTGAAATAATAGAAGTCAAAACAAGTGAAATCTTTCAAAAAAAAAAAAAAAAAAAAAAAGGTTAATATGTCCTTGGTGAAGTTTTTTGAAAGTTAATTGCTGAAGAACCTGTAATGACTTCTCACAACACATTTTCTTCATTTAATCAGACCAAGGCTTTTGCAGTTCCAAGGAGGAATGCAATGGCATTGATCTTGTCAAGTTATATCTTCTCAGAATTTGCTTACCGCAACGCTGCATTTGCTCAATCATCTATTGGATTCAGGGAATACATAGATACCTTTGATGGTTATACCTTCAAGTATCCTCAAAACTGGATTCAAGTTCGAGGTGCTGGAGCTGACATATTCTTCAGGGATCCTTATGTTCTTGATGAAAATGTTTCTGTGGAAATGTCATCACCATCATCCTCCAGGTACAAGACTGTTGAAGACTTGGGTCCACCAGAAGAAGCTGGAAAGAAAGTACTTAAGCAGTATCTTACAGAGTTTATGTCTACAAGACTTGGCGTCAGGCGTGAATCCAGCATTCTTTCCACAACTTCGAGAGTTGCTGATGATGGGAAGCTTTATTATGAAGTGGAGGTTAGCTATATTCTGATGTTGAACATCAAAAACACTTTTAGTAACTATGATACATTCATTTTCTTTTATGTGCAATCTAGTTGTGTTCTTTAGTTTTGTGTATTGAAAGTTGAAGCTCCTTGTTATCAGGTAAACATAAAGTCATATGCAAACAACAATGAGTTGGCTGTGATGCCACAAGATCGACCCATTAATTTGGAATGGAACCGGCGTTATCTTTCAGTTCTGGGAGTTGAGAACAACCGGTTATATGAGTTGAGATTACAAACACCAGAAAATGTATTTGTAGAAGAGGAAAGTGATCTTCGCCAGGTTATAGACTCCTTCAGAGTAAACAAGGTGGCTGCTTGATCAATTTAGATACACCCCCACATTTTGTGATTCAAATCAAGAGTCTTTCCAATGATAATTCTTTGCTTAGAGGACTTGAAACTGTATTTCCAGTAGCATTAATAGCTTTTCCAGTTTGGGAAATCATAATAAGGCAATGAGTGCTTTCCTTTGATCATTTGTAGTGTATAGATCCTGAAAGCTGTTGTCTGATTGAGAAAGTATTTATCTGCAGTCTTCACGCAAGTGTGGTTTCTAATAGCTGAACTTGCACGAAGTGAAAGTGTTAAGCTTAAAATTCCAAAAAGAAAGAGGGAAAATCAATCTTTAATGATATTGCTTTTTCAAGACAATGGTACAATTAGTTTGTGAGAAGAAAAAATATTCATTCTAAATCACCACCAACTCCATAGATGAATGACTTCAGCACCCAACATATAATACATCACAAAAAATAAAAAATAAAGAACAAAACACAGAAGTCATCTCCATACAAATGATATCATGACCTAACTTCATATTCTCCTGCTCGTGTGAGAGCTCGAAAACCTTTGTAAAGACGACTAGGTACATTCTTTAGATCCAATTTATCGATTTGCAGGCCAGAGAGGGCAACGCCCATAATCCTAAAACCTAATTGAAATGTAGGAAATACATGAAGACGCTCCAATCCTGTCTCAAGCACCATTGTTCCAGTCAATGAAGGGGCTTTATCTTTCGGAATCCGTCCAATCGACCAAGAGCACATCTGTAGATGAATGTTCACAATAAATAATCAAATTCCAATCATGGATTTTTTTTACATGCAATGTCATCCTCGACTTCAAAATTTCTAATTGAATCTTTATGGTCTAATTACCAATATCCCATATGGAGATTTATCAGAGTGATTATACACAGCATCTAAGAGGCGAAACCTACATATATTCTTCCAAACAAACAACCACCTCTAGCTCTATACATCTGTAGGTCCAATCAAAAGGATAACTTTTTATAACAGACGGCAGATATATCACAGTAACTACATAAAAATACCTTATTACTAAGAATGTCCACTGCTCCATGATTGGCAGTCAGATCGGCTGATAAAACGCAAGGAGGCAATTGAAATTGCAGTGTTATAGAGTCTATTGTCTTTCCAGGATCATTTCGTATTCCAACCATCACACTGATACGACATGTTCCATCATTGGAGGTAAGCTGTGGCTTTACATATATTGGGGTACTTTTCAACTTTTTAACCCTGCATAGAGGAGATGGTTATTCACAAACCGACATATCCACCATCGAAAAGGGTGGCAGAAATGAAATTAGTTTATTCTTACATCTTGACCCCAACCCATTTATCAAAACACTTCTATTCTCTTTCATTGTAAATAAATATGTTAGGTTCAATACCCCTAATACCCAAATCCACTCAAAGAAAAGATATTTAAGCATAAATTCTCCACAATACCACCCACCTGTAACTCATGAGCTTAAACTGGCCATCAGGAGGCACAAATGAAAGAATTTGATGCGATTCCCAAGGTCGAAACCGAACACAGGGATGAAATCTCACATCATCTAAGATAGATGGGTTTGCAAAAGAAAGAGTCAAATCAGGAAGACCTGAAAGAAGGGAGTTTACTTGAACTTCACCATAAATTTCACATTTCACCAAGACACCATCCCTGAGCAGTGCATGCAAAAGAGAGAACCGCTTAGCAATTTTAGGATAAAAAAAACGTGCAGTTTGAATATATGAAACATACAATACAGGCATGTGAGAAACTTAATCAACTTTCATCCATGATCCTATTGCCAATTGTAACTGCTTTGTGGCAAATTTAGATAGCAATAGCTATTTGCCGCAAGCTGTATACCCTGTGTTAGATCACAACCACCAGAGTTGCCATAAATTTAAAATAGCCAAAGGCTAAATTCTAAAGACCAAAATGGTGGAATCCCAATCTCTCTTTAAAGTATCTACACTAGAAGTGAAGTTATAGGTATATATGAGGATAGTTATACACCTGTTTATGATTGCATCCATTTCTTCAACAAGATCAACATAAACTTCATTGTTAGCGTACTTCACATCTGTTGTTCTCCATGGAACACAAGATGCTGTTGCACCTGGAAGGGTATCACTCATATTGGAGCTGTTGCCTGTCACAACGCTCAACATTTTGCTAACAATATTTGGTGGAGCTATCATTTCTCTAAGGATATTAGGTTCTGTAGTAAGAGGGAAGCCATTGTCTATCATCTCATCCAAAAGCTGCCAGTTACATTAAAAAATAATAAAAGAAATACTGGTCAGATTCAAAACGAACAGCTAACCAACACTAAAAGAACTTACATGATGACAAGAAATACTAAAATCGAAAGACGAATACTCTTCGCATTAGACTAATCTAAACCATTTCAAACAAATTTCTTATTTAACAACTTCCCTAACGAACATTTAGCAAAAATATGAAATACCTCATAGACAATGACAAAGTTATCCTTGACTAAATCTTCATTCAACCCACCAAGATAACCGGAGAGGACATCAGCTACTCTACAAAGAAACTAAAACACATAAAGGTCAAGGCTTTAACATTATTCAAAACATAAACAATCACATTCAGAATCATAAAATACAAATGGGATGTATAATTCACCTCAATAGCCATCAAAGGCGGCATTTCAACTTGGGTGCAGGCTAAAAAGGTTATTCCCTCACGAACAATTTGGAACAAGTAATGAGTTGGTGAAGCAATTACAGGCATTGACTATCAACAAACAAGAAAAAAGAAAGAGAAAACATGTAAATAAACTTGAGAAATTAACGAACCAGAAATGAAACTTAATTATAGAATTTTTTTAATGGGTACCTTGAAAGAGTCACCTTGAGAAATAACGTGATCCCAAAACCAAGCACATATGGATCGGTCTACACGATGCCCAGTTAGCTGTTTCTCTAGCATCACCTCTCTGTTACGACACAAACATGAATAAATTCAGACCCAATGATTTGGCTTTATAGTAAAATTGCTGAAACTTTGATTAGAACTCAAAAAAATTAAAATCGAAGGAAAGGAAGGAGAATCGGTGATGAATCATACCCAGAATCAGAGAGGAGAAATATACACTGCAACATCTTCTCCCCACAATTTAAGAATCTTCAGATCAAAATTTGATGCGAGAGTGTTATATTTGCACACAGAGAGTGAAAGGGGTGTTTGGATTTTTTAGAGGATCCTACACAATCTTCCAAGTCCAACACAACTGTTGTGTTATCAGTTATCACAAACCAGATAAGATTATAAGAAATTAAGACTATTTAACGCAGTAATATGGCTTTTCTTTTAATATGATTTGATATTTTTTTTAATAATATGATTAATAAATAAATCTTAGAAAAAGATCATTCAAATTTGGATGGAATTTCACTGAGGAAATGAAATAACTTTCTATATCAAATTCTAATCCAACTATTACCCTGGGGTGGATGAGAGACGGGTTAACATTTTCTGTAATTTATGAGTATAATTTGATGGGATATCATCTTTGATTTAACCCTCTAAAAATACTTGATTGAGAGGAATTATTAAGACCACAATCAAGTCTAATCCCTAACAGTTGCAAAGTTAAAGGACAAAATAAAAAAGAAATAAACCCAAAACTTCTTGATTAATATACGAAAAGTTCTTCTCGCCTTATCCGAGCCATTACAGCTATTGGCAATGAGTGTAACATAATTAGCACAAATCCAAAAGCTATTTTGATAAATTGATGCAAATTCTCAATATATCGAGTGTATCAAAATTGCATCATTCCTCTTCATATACAATGGTATATCATATTCCAAAATGAATACAAAGAGAACATTTTCTTTTGCTACTATGACACATCAAATTCACATTTCCTTTTTAAACAAGTAAAAAGGATTGAGACAAAAACAGGAATTTTCAAGACCAAAAAAGAACTTATTATTCTATCAACGAATTTTCCTGTAATTCCATTATACAAATATTAGAAATCCATAAGGTCAAATACAAAACATCTACTAATTTGTTTTCCCATATGAGTTCAATGATAAGCCAATTCAGTGCTGGCCAAATTTGTACACGCCGCCTCTCTTTTCAACATCTCTTCCATAACCAAGCTTCATGCTACGCCCATTCTACATCGAATGACTTAAACAACACTGAATGCTGACTGTAAGGTGGATGTGAAACGGGTGGCAATGGTCTGGGTGGCAAATTGCTGAATCTGCTTCTTAGCATCTGAAAATAACATCAAGCATATTTTTTTTTAAGTAAATTTTAAACAAGTAATCACCAGCAAAAATAAGGCAGATGAATCTGCTACAGAGCCTAAACATTTTTTTCTAGGCCACAGTTCACATAATAGAAGGTCAAATTTAAGTTTCCAATTTTCAAAGACCCAACAGATGAATATCTTCCTACTTGCTGCATTATTTTAAGGCCTTTTTTTTAACACAACTGAAGATAATAACAAAGATCACACTCAAGCAAACAAAATTTTGTGCCAAAAGAATTAAAATAACAACAAAATTGCTCACCCTTTCTGCATTTGGTAAAGCCAACAATATTTGCAATGTTGAGGGTTAAACAGACTCCAACAACAAGGAGATAATCAGCTTGGAACCTAATAAGAGAGAATATTCCAAGTACAATCCACGCAACCGCCTACATGGTACAAAATCAAGAATCTCAATGTAGACTTACTTTAAAAGTATGAAGTACAGCAAATGAAGAAGGAGACAGCCCAGCAGCACTATTATACAAAAATAGTCGTTACTTTCAAGTCCATCAATACAGATTCACTTCCAATTTCTAAAGTGTTTCCCTATTCTACAGACAAAAATCTTAATAAAAAATTTATGTAATACTTAAAAATTTGTGCATCTTCTCTCTCGACTTTTTCTTAACAGATTATTCTACAGCTGTGCTACATTTGTATATATAATATCCTCTAGTCGGTGTTGAGCAGCTAAAGTAAAACAGTCTCACTTACTGAAAGGTAAAGAGTCCACCAGAATAGCCAGGAATCTTTCTTGTTCATACGAGCCATTGACTACAAGCAAAAAGTATAACCATGCATGAGTATCAAGTACCAATATTGTAGGAAGAAAGATTTTCAAGAAATAAAATGGCATTTCTGAACAGGGTGATAGTGAAAAGAAGATAAATTTCAATAAACACAAAATAGGTAAGACAAATATTGAATAAATGAAAAAAGGTAATACTAACCTCTTGGTCAAGACATTCAAATTTCCATACACTCTCACCAACATCATTTATTTCATTCCACCACCTCAAACCAACTAAAATACGCCCACTTACATTTTTGACAACCCAAAAATCAAGAGCAGCAAGAAGAACAGTCACCACAAAAATGATGACAAAGCTGTCAAAAAATAGGGTAGAAAGTATGTAAAATGCCAAAGCTGCAGCCTGCAAAAAACAAGAGACAATATTTCATACTTAGGAATAAGATTATACTTCAAACATAAAAAATTGGCATAAGATATGACCACTAACCTTGAAGAGAACATGAAAGAAGCATGTTTTTGGGTTGGCATAATTTTCACCAGGAGACTGCATTGCAATTGAAAGTATATTATTCAAAATAAAGAGTAAAAATGGATAACAAGGCTCAAATAAACAATTTGATTTCATCATAATAAAATTGTTATCGATAAATACGACCAATCATAAGTCAATATGTGATACCAACAATCATATGTCAATATGTGATATCCAAGGTTCTATTTTCATTTCAAGAGACAAAAAGAAGTTTGAAATTGCACAGGTATATCTACTTTTCATAAAATTTAGAAAGAGATACCAAACTTCACCACAACTGAAAATTTCAAACCTACTCTAAGACGCTACAACTTTTAAAACTTTTACATCCAAATTGGTAAAAATTGGGCAAAAGTTCTTCTCCTTCATTGGCATATCTCCACGTGACTAAACACAAGCTCTTAATTAAACAAAGAAGAAGATAAATTATGCTCTAACAATCCCATATCTTGTAATCAATAACAAACACAAGACACCAACAATCTATTGATTTTCCAAATAGCGTAGAAATTTGCTAGTACAACAATCAAATGGTCAAAGATAACATACCATAACCCAATTGAATATTGGATCTCCAAAAAAATATTAATATTCACAAAGAACAGAAATAATTCTTGCTTGAATTATCGTTTTCTATCAGTAGAATATTAACGTTTGTGGTACATTCAAACATTTTGCCAGCAACCAATCAAAACCCTATTGAATCTAAAAAAAAAAATTAACTACTTAGGGAGATTAAAACAACAAAAGAATCAAAATTATAGGATCTTTAGGTTGTAAGAGAAAGCATAATACTCCATTAACATTTTGTATTCTTTACAAAGATTCTCATTAACCAAACAAAACATCGTACTTTTTTCAGCTTTCTTTAAATACTCTCATCTGAATATCAATCAAACAAATGGTATGTCTTAAATCTTCCAAAATCCACAGATCTAAATTGATAATAAAAATTAAACTTCACAAATTATACAAACAAAAAATTAAAAGAAAATTAAGTAGAGAGATGATGACATGTACAAAAACTGACCTGGTTGAGATCCATTATGAGAAATCTGAAAACGAATTCAGATTAGAATGTTGTTGCTCTCCTTTATTCTTCCTCTTCTTCTAAATCAAGAGCTTGTGTTTATGTTCTGTTTGTAACTCGCAGTCGTAGATCCCAAAAAACTTGTGAGATTTATGAAAGAAGACTCCTATTTTCAAATATTGCTCCATTCACCCAAAACGTTTGCTTATTATACAAATTTCCATACACTTTGGATATGGGCTAAAGCCTAAAAGGTTATTGGCCCAATTTGTTTTGTGGGCTGGTTAGGCAATATTATTTTTGTTGAATAAGAGTCAAGGCCCTTTATTGTGTAATTGTGTAAAAAGGGTCGACAATTCTACAGGTCTACAACAATCCTTGGGTGGCCTGATAGCTAAGATACGGATAAGCTGGTCCAGAGCACCTCCGGTCATAATAAATAAATAAATAAAAATTACTTTAACTAAATCATTTAAGGTTTGTATATATTATTTTTCATATAAAATATAATAATATTATCCATATAGTGTTTTTTATGGGGGCAAATTAGAGGCATGAATTTATTGCTAGGAAAGATGAAGGGAAAATAGAGGAGGTGATGCAATATTGAATGAGAGGCTGTGGATATAACCGAAGTGAGTGACAGTGTTGTGTAGTGGGTCATTGTCTTATCCTAACTCTTTTGTTATGCAAGAATGAGAGGCACCACCCAAACCAACTCTGAGAAACAGATTGCCATTTTCAATACAATCAAATTCTCAAGTAGAGAAGAACTAACATGGCAAGCTTGGCTGTGTTACACCAGCAAACTCAGCCTTCTTTCTCTGTTCTTACTTCTTCTCTATCTGACTTTAATGGCACCAGAGTCGTCCACTCCCAACTTCAGGTTCCCCTCCTTCCTAACTTTGTTTAACTGCCAATATCATTATGACTTGTTTCATCTACAAAATACACAACTTTGTGATCAGAGAGGCTCAAGTTTTGTTGTTGTTTTGATCATCCATCAATAGACACTCCTTGTTATATTGGAACCATATACTTAATTTGATGTAACTGGTATTTCGTTTAGCTGATTGTTAGCATCTACATTGAACAGTTTAAAAGAAAGGCATTACAGCCAAAAGGAGCTCTCCATATTACGGCATCAAGTGAAAAGAAAATTCTTATAATGGGAGGAACTAGATTCATTGGTGTATTTTTGTCTAGACTTCTGGTCAAAGAGGGCCATCAGGTATTGCATACCCATCTCTTTTACCATTAAACTTTCTTTAACATTATTGTTTCTAGTAGCTTTCCTTTTCATGCCACATTGTCATTTTAAAGTTATTTTGGGTCTGTTTATAAGATACAACATCATTCGTATGGCAGGTGACCTTGTTTACTAGAGGGAAAGCACCCATTACTCAACAATTGCCAGGTGAATCTGACCAGGATTATGCTGAATTTTCTTCCAAGGTATTGTAACATTGGTTTCAAAAGTCTGTTATACAGTCTTGAATTTCAGCTGCTTAGTTGCAGGCTGCAGCAGTGTGTGCCAACTATATAAAATTTTTTAATGCTAATTATAATTGGCTAGATCTTGCATTTGAAAGGAGACAGAAAGGATTTTGATTTTGTGAAATCCAGTCTCTCAGCCGAAGGTTTTGATGTTGTTTATGATATAAATGGTACGTATAGACTTCTGTGCGCAGACTTGACCCTTCTATCTCTTCCACTTGAATACAATATGTTATAGCTTGCACGTGATATTTCTCTTTTGCATATCTTCAGGACGAGAGGCTGATGAAGTTGAACCCATATTGGATGCACTACCAAATTTAGAACAGTATGCTCTAAACAATCTGTGGATCATATTCTATTGAGTCTAAATCAGCTATATGTATAATCATTGCACATCGAAATTCTGCTTGTCCTTCAATTTTAATTCATTCGGTCTTGAATATGGCTACTATTGAAAATTTACAAAATCTTTTGCCAAAAGATCAAAACCACATTTGACATGAAGTTCATTGATTACTTTTAGTGAATACATATAAAATTGGAATGGATATGCTTAAACTTATGATGATACTGAATGATGAATCCCCCTTAGTTCATATGTGCACAAAAAAATTGATGTTGGTGCCACGAGATGATATCAGTTGCTGTGAGTTAAATTGACTTGGATAGAAGTAGAAAAGTGAATTATTGCAGGTATATATGTAGCTGGTATATCAGAGGGTAATCCCTGCCTTAACCGAAGAACGCTTTAAGACTAAAATTCTTCAATATCACATTAGCATTAGTGTTGGTGATGGGTCGGTGGAATGGTGTGATCCAATGCTTTATGTTTTTGTGCAAACTGATGAGTAAATTTAAGACTATATTTTTCCTCTCTGTAGAAGTTCTCTTTAGGAAATCTAAATTTTGGCTAATTCTCAGGTACATATACTGCTCCTCAGCCGGTGTGTATCTCAAATCTGATCTTCTACCACACAGTGAGGTGTGTTCTTGATTATGCTTTTGTTTTAGAATGCTTAAAGTAAAGATCTTAATGCAACATAATCATGAATCAGAGCTTTGTTACCATCTTGAAATAATTATAAGATGTTTCCATGAAAAAAAAGTAACGTTGCTGAATAAGACATTCAAAAGCAGCAGCTCTGTTAAACCTCAATGTATTATCTTTCTCAACTGTCACCTGTGAGATTTACATCCCTGTTACTTACCAATGGGTGCAGTGCCAAATTTGTTTTAAAATTTACTTGCTTATAGTGCCATATTCTCATTTTAATTCAGCATCTCTTTTTTTTTTTTTTCTATTATTTATTATGCTTATGTAGTTTCTAATTAGTCAGCTCCTTGTGATAGACTGATGCAGTTGATCCAAAGAGCAGGCACAAGGGAAAGCTTAATACAGAGTCCTTATTGAAATCAAGAGATGTGAATTGGACTTCTTTAAGGCCAGTCTACATCTATGGACCCTTGAACTACAACCCTGTTGAAGAGTGGTTTTTCCACCGCTTGAAAGCAGGCCGCCCAATTCCCATACCCAATTCAGGAATGCAAATAACCCAACTTGGTCATGTGAAGGTTTGAAAATTTACAAACCCATTATTAATTAGCATGCATGTTCTTGGAAACAACTCAACTATTCCAGGAATTAACTTTCAGTAAAGTTTCTATATCAATTTTGGTTTCTTTCACTTCTCAACTGATAGCAAATAGCAGCCAAAATCAGTTTGTCCGCAAACAACTAACAATTTCATTTTGAAGTTTACTAAATGAGGAACCTTTTGATTTTATAACAGTGGTAATAATGATTTTTGTGTAGTTAGATATAAAACTGAGTATATGGTATGATTGTTCTACAATGTCAGGACTTGGCAAAGGCCTTTCTTGTGGTTCTTGGTAATGAAAAAGCAAGTAAGCAGGTATTCAACATCTCAGGAGAAAAGTATGTGACTTTTGATGGATTAGCAAGGGCATGTGCGAAGGTAATTGACCTATTCAATTAAATTACTAATAGTATAGCACATGAAACCCCCTTTGATTGAGGCTAAATGACTCTAATATTATTCATTTTATAATAACTTTCTCCAGGCTGGTGGGTTTCCTGAGCCTGAACTTGTCCACTACAATCCCAAGGAATTTGACTTTGGTAAAAAGAAGGCATTTCCCTTCCGTGACCAGGTAAATTGTGTATCTCTAGACTGCTTCATTCCATGTCCCCTTCAAAATTAAATTGAAAAGATAATGCTGCTTAGATGTTAACAAAAGTCATATGTATATATATTGTTTATGTTAATCGTTCTTCGGTCATGTTTTCAACCAATTTGACCAACTCGTTTATCATTTAAGATGATAATATTTTGTAATACGATGCAGCATTTCTTCGCATCTGTTGACAAAGCAAAGCATGTGCTGGGATTAACCCCCGAATTTGGCCTGGTGGAAGGCCTTACAGACTCTTACAACCTAGACTTCGGCAGGGGTACATTCAGGAAAGAGGCTGATTTCTCTACAGATGACTTGATTCTGGGCAAGAAACTTGTTCTCCAGGCCTAGAAACTTGAGTATAATTATTATTCTTTGAATCCTTTAAGTTGTAGGAATTTGCAGTGGGGGGTTTCTGTCACATCCAAGTCATTTTCTAGACGGTTATATCATTTGTTGTGATAATGTAGACATATCAACCTTTGAATGCTGCATACTGTTGACTCTGGTTTATGAACAAAAATTCAAAGCAACCACTTGTCCCTAGCTAGTTTATCCTATTTCTTTTCTGATTAAAGCCCATCAACCGTCCCCAGTCCACTTGTGAAATTTGGGTTGCTTATTGCATATTGAGTCATTCATTCCCAATAGACTTATCAAACGTTATTCGCACCAACCATGATAATATATTATCCTCCATGCAAAAATTCCAAATGGAAAATAATAAATTAATATCGGCCCCACATTTAAATAACGTATGTCTATCCATATTATCTTTAATTTGCTCAAACTATCGTAAAATCTAACCACTCTTTTGATATAAAATTTAAATTATTTTACACGTAAAACTTGGATATTGCATGTAACATGATAACATCTAGAAATTGTTAATATTAATTTTTTGGTTGGTTGAACTTTTCCCATTTTTTCGGTAATAAACAGGAATATTGCCGAATATTCTCCAAAGTTAAACGGTCAAAATTCAAAACGTTATCAATAAAATTATCCATTGAATAGATATGGTCGGTTTAGTCTAAAGTTTGAAACATTATCCTAAAATAAATAACTAATTAATTATCTTGATATTAATATATAATTAGTGGTTAAGCTTGGACCAACTAACTTAACTAATACCAACGATCCTCCAAAGAAGCTACAATAAACTGCATGCTGCAATGTGGCAGCTTCTCGCACCACACATTGACACACATTTGATTATATGGACCCCACGTCATTTAAAAATGCCACCGACGTGTATTAAAATGCCACGTCGTCAATTAATTGATTACGTGGCAAGCCATGTGCTAAAGGGTGGACCCACTAGACCTACCCCCTCCTTGCAACCTCTATGAACGTCCCGCGTGCGGCTCTCTTTAAATACGTGTTGGGAAACCTTGTGGCACGGGTGTTCACATTTGTAGGGGCCACTCAGCTTGGTGGGGTCTTGATTTTTGCGGTGGGTGTTGATTAAATTTAATTTAATCACACTTTTACCCTTTTTCATTTCTTTTTATTTTTTTAATAAGAGGAAGTTTCTTGGTTTATAAGTTTTGTTTTGTGTCACATACGTGATACATCACACTCTTCCAATCAATAAATTGATCTAAACCGTTCGTTTTAGTTTATCGAAACTTGAATTCTATACATATTTCCCAAATTTCTTTTGGATGATAAAAGAATATCTCAACTCCGATTGGTGTAATTGATATAATATGGATTATATAAAAGTAAATCTTTGATCACATTATTAAGGTAGAAATTTATACTAATTAGAAGTACATGATTGACAACGCCAGAACCATATATAATATGTGTATGTAATCTAGATAAATCAACAATAGAACAATATGATGATAAATATGTAAGAATTAATATGTGACACAAGCAACAAATTGACTTTTTAAAGTAGTTCGGTTACTCGTAACGTAAAGTCTATATCCATTGTTATAATATTGATTGTGTTGAAAGTAATTAGTTTTTTGGGATTTATTCTCTCTCTTTAGAAATAGATTATAATTGAGTTTATATAGCATCAATTATATGGTTGAATTGAAGATAAACTCAAATTCAATAGAACGAGAGTAGCGTGATCTTGATCATGAAATCATATCACAAGATATGTACGTGCCAAAAAATAAGTTATTTGCTCAGATTTCTCACACAACATATATTAACTTATAATTAATATAATAGTGAAACCTCATCAACTATAAGTGATCAACACATATGTGTAATACAAAGCTAAGATTTCAATTTTATACACATAAAATTATTGTAAGTACATATATATAAAGTATTAATTGCTTAATGTGGTTTTGGTTGATGGTACGAGATATTTTGCAATGTTTTAGATTTTTTTTTCTGAATTTAGATAACAAATATCCTGCCATGATCTTTTGAAGATACAGTCACTCATTCACATGTTATTCCTATCTTTTATTTGCACATACAAGATCTCTTTAAGTAGTCCAATATAACCTTGTACTTGTGTCAAATAACACCCATATTTTATTGACTAAAGTTGTAGATTACAAAAAAAAGAAGGGGTTTTCTGTATACTGCACATTGTGTATCTTCCGGGATATTCCTTTCTTTATTAAGATTAATTATATTTCCTCTTTCGTGCACCGTCATATTCTAGGATTCTCTCCTTAACCGTTAGATCAATTCGATGCCGCACGTAAAGTCCGATTTGTTTGAGACTAGGGAGCGCAGTCAAGGACTCAAGATCAAGGCCCAGCAGTCAACTCCACTGAAGCTAAGTCAAGTCTGAAAAACGGCCCCGTTTAACGTAAAATAAAGTTGATAAGATGACGTTGTATTCCTATTCCACCATAATCTTGTTCCCATAGAATAATCAATTAGTCAATTACCATTTAATTACGATTATTTAACATAATCGGATCCACCCAAAATCCTATATAAACACCCCCACCACCACCCTCTCCTTCATCAACTCAAATCAGAGCAATCTTCAAACCTTAAAAACAATCTTTCAAAGCTTTTTCCAAAGTTTGATTTCTTCAAACTTCTCAATATGGCTCCTCACATCACCACCACCACTGTGACCAAGACCACCCCTCTCTCAAAGGCTCCAAGCCTGTCAAGCCGTGCATATGTGACGTTCTTGGCAGGTAACGGGGACTATTGGAAGGGAGTGGTCGGGCTGGCCAAAGGGTTGAGGAAGGTGAAGAGCAGTTACCCTCTTGTTGTTGCGATTTTGCCGGACGTTCCTGAAGAGCACAGGAAGATTCTGGTGGATCAAGGTTGTATTGTGAGAGAGATCGAGCCTGTGTATCCTCCTCAGAATCAGACTCAGTTCGCCATGGCTTATTATGTCATCAACTACTCCAAACTTCGTATTTGGGAGGTACGTACGTATTAGAATATAATTGCATGTCATGTCTTACTCGTAAAAGTACTGTTTGTGGTAACTTTTTTTTATCACTAGTGTTTGACGGGTGGGTAATTTCGCAGTTTGTTGAGTACAGTAAGATGATATATCTGGATGGTGACATCCAAGTGTTTGAAAACATTGACCATCTCTTCGACATGCCTGAGGGTTATTTCTATGCCGTGAAGGACTGTTTCTGTGAGAAGACATGGAGTCATACCCCTCAGTACAAGATTGGTTATTGCCAACAGTGTCCTGACAGGGTTCAGTGGCAGGCTGAGTTGGGTCCAAGGCCTCCACTTTACTTCAACGCTGGCATGTTTGTTTACGAGCCAAGCCTTTCAACGTATGAGGATCTCTTGAAAAACGTCCAAATTACCCCTCCCACCCCTTTTGCAGAGCAGGTAATTTTAAATTTATATTTACTGCTTAGTTTCAAATCATTAACTTAAGTTTGAATGTTTAAATAATGTCATCTTTATTTTGTAGGACTTCTTGAACATGTACTTCAGGGATATTTACAAGCCTATTCCTCCAATTTACAACCTTGTGTTGGCCTTGTTATGGCGTCACTCAGAGAACATTCAACTTGATCAAGTCAAAGTTGTTCACTACTGTGCTGCTGTGAGTATTATATTTTATATACACCCTTCTAATTGACATGAAAACATAAGATTTATTATGGATGTGATTATAAATTTTCCAGGGGTCTAAGCCATGGAGGTACACAGGAGAAGAAGATAACATGGACAGGGAAGACATAAAGATGCTTGTGAAGAAATGGTGGGATATATTCGACGATGAATCATTGGACTACAAGAACACCGCGACAACTGTGCTTGAAGCAGAACCAGTGAACTTGGAGCAGTTAATGGCAACGTTATCGGAGGCCGGTGTTATTCACTATATTACTGCCCCATCTGCCGCTTAGAGGTTGCGGATGAAGATCCATGCTTTTAAAAATGGATACGTGTTCCCTATAATAACTAAGCTGTGTATAGGAGTAAAGGGTGCTGTCTGTTTAATTTTTTCTTTATTTTTTTAAAAGTTGTTGTGGGGATTTCCTTTAGTGAGAGAGAAGGAGAACCTCTTGTTACTTATACTCAAGGAGGACCAGGATTTTTGTTCTTCCTCCTCTTCTTACTATATGTTTGGTTAGTTTATATATCAAAGCAAATATTTGAGTGTAGATGAACTTCTTCTGACATTATTTTTATCTTATTAGATCCAAGTACATGATTACTTGTACTCGAAGGGATCCATCCCTTCATCAAGATTAGATATATTCAACAATATTGATAAGTTTTACCAGAGACAATTACTTTCTTTAATTGAAAACGAAATTAAAGACCCCAATTACCAAAAATTAATATTGGTGAAAAGATTTGCTTACTTATGTAATAGGTAAGTTAATATATGAAATAAATATGACCATGATCAGAAACTTAATTCATCATAATAACAAAATGGTCCTCTTTTGATATAAGTAATTATTTCGATGATTTGAAGACAATGAACTTATTGACCTTTTGAGGGGGCTAAGATTGATGCTCAAATTTGTACAAACTAGATTAACTGTTGTTCATGCATTTAACACTTGCAAATTTCTATTTTTAAAAATATAAATAACATCAACTCCTCTAGACCCTATCAACCATATAATGGTAAAATGGAACTAGAAAGGATAATTTGGTCTTTTCACATGGATTTTTTTTTTTTTTTTTTTTAAGAAACGTAAAGTGAAACACGTTATAAACACTTTTATCCTACATCATTTTTCACGTTACCTTATGTCATCATTAGAACCGACTCTACTATCTACATGTATAACACATCGAGATTTTAACCATTTGACACCTTTAAAGGTTCATCTGCTGCCAAAAGTATAAGTGAACACAGATCGTTCAATTGAGATGTACTTCTGACACCAATATCAGAATCCATGCCAATTAATTTTTTTAATAGACAATATATCATCTATTATCTTTTCCAAGATGTTTTATTGTTACTTTATTAATCAAAATAGTAGTAATAGATTTCTTGATTTGAATAATGTTTAATGATGTAAATTCATTAATTGACTACACTTAAAAGAGTAAAATGATAATTTCATAAATTTTTAAATTATTGAATTAAAGAATAAAACTTATATTTAATAAATTTGTGTATAATTTGCAAATTAATAAAGATGAGTTCACAACTCAATTCCATAAATTTGTTTTCATAATCCCAACGTGATAGTTCATAATTAGATTGATGAAACTCATTATTAGATAAACAGAATCAAATATGAATTATTATATTAGAATTGTAAGAAAAAATTTACGAAAATTGATTTTAAGTATATAATTGTCCTTGCAAATATTGGGCATGTCCAACATTTTCAACCAAATAAGACTCTTATTCATTTGGCGATTCATATGTTCAACCAACTTAACTAATATCAACTACCCTTCGTCCGAGGAAATGTGGCACCTTCTCCTACTAAATATTGACACGCATTAGATTTTATGGACCCTACCTCATTACAAAATTTTATGAGATGCCACGTTGCCAATTTTCTTATTACGCGGCAGCCCCATCTGGCCTACTCCTCCCACCTCTTGGGAGTTGCCACGCGCCCTCTCTTTTGTAAATACGTGTTGGGAAACCGCGTGACAAAAGTGTTAACGTTTGTAGCGCCAGCTGGGGTGTGGGGCTCCGTCGGTGCGTTATTTATTCACGCTTTATCCTTTTTTTCTTTTCTTTTTAGTTTTTATTCTGTTTGAATAGTCAAAAATGACCCTAAAAGAGAGAAGGGTGTTCCTGTATTTTTAACATTGTGTATCTTCCAGGGTATTCTCTGATATATTAAAATAATTATATTTTCCTCTTTCGTGCACCGTCCAAATCCAGAATTCTCTCCTTAACCGTTAGATCAATTTAATGCCACACGTAGAGTCCGATTTCTATAGGAGAAGATAACATATTCAAATTAAGTACCAACAGTCAACCTCACTAACTACTGAGTACTGAGTCAAGTCTCTAGAACGACAACGTTTAACATTAAAAAACCGTATCAAAATGACGTCGTCTTCCACCAAATTCTTCCCCCTTCCAACACGTAGATAAATCCGCATTTATTAAATTACCATTACACCCACCCAAACTCCTATATAAATCTACCACCATCACTCTTTGCTTCAACTACTCAAAGCGAATATCAAAACCTCAAAAGACTTTCAATCTTTCAAAGCTTTTTCCTTCCTTCCAAATACTTATTTTCTCATCTTCTAATTACACACATTTCCTTTCTTGAATTTCAAAATGGCCCCTAATATCACCACCACCACCGCTGTGACCAAGACCACCTCTCTCTCAAAGGCTCCAAGCCTGTCAAGCCGTGCATATGTGACGTTCTTGGCGAGTAACGGGGACTATTGGAAGGGAGTGGTGGGGTTGGCCAAAGGTTGAGGAAGGTGAAGAGCAGTTACCTCTTGTCGTTGCGATTTTGCGGACGTTCCTGAAGAGCACAGGAAGATTCTGGTGGATCAAGGTTGTATTGTGAGAGAGATCGAGCCTGTGTATCCTCCTAGAATCAGACTCAGTTCGCCATGGGGTATTATGCATAACTACTCCAAGCTTCGTATTTGGGAGGTACGTATTGTAATTAATTGCATGTCATGTCTTTCTCGTAAAACTATTGTTTGCGGTTTTTTTATCACTAGTGTTTGACGGTGGGTAATTTTGCAGTTTGTTGAGTACAGAAGATGATATATCTGGATGGTGACATCCAAGTATGAGAACATAGATCATCTCTTTGACAGGCGATGGTTATTCTACCGTGATGGAATGTTCTGTGAGAAAACATGGAGTCACACCTCAATACAAGATTGGTTATTGCCAACAGTGTCCTGACAAGGTGAACTGGCCAGCTGAGTGGGTCCTAAACCTCCACTCTATTTCAATGCTGGCATGTTTGTTTGAGACCCAGCTTGTCTACTTACGAGATCTCTTGAAAAACCTCGAAATTACCCCTCCCACCCTTTGTGAGCAGGTAATATTTTAGATTTAGATTTGTATTTAATACATCATTAATTTAAGTTTGATGTTAAATGTTATGTTTTCGATTCGTAGGAACTTGACATGTACTTCAAGGATATTTACAAGCCTATTCCTCCATTTACAACTTGTGTTGGCCTTGTTATGGCGTCACCCGGAGAACATTCAACTTGACCAAGTCAAAGTTGTTCACTGTGCTGCTGTGAGTATTTTCATATACCACTTTCATTTGACATGAAAAGATTGTATCAAATCTAAATTCTAACGGTTTGATTATAAATTTACAGGGGTCTAAGCCATGGAGGTATACTGGAAAAGAAGAGACAATGGACAGGGAGATATAAGATGTAGTGAAGAAATGGTGGGATTATTCGATGATGAATCATTGACTACAAGAACACTGCAGCAGTGCGCCTGAAGCAGAGCCAGTGACCTTGGAACAATTAATGCAGCGTTATCGGAGGCTGGTGTTGTCCACATATCACCGCCCATCCGCCGCTTAGTGGTTGCGGATTACATGAAGAATGAAGATCCATGTTTTTTTTAAATGGATTCATGTTTCTTGTGAGAGAGTATATTTTTTTTTTTCCTTTTTTAATTGGTTAAGTAGTGGTGGTCTCTTCGGGGGAGAAGGAAACTCCATTTTAAGATTGTTGTTACTTCAGGAGGAAGAGGATTTTTGTTCTCCTTTTCTTAATGTTGGTATATTAAATTAATATCAGCAAAACAATTTATTGTACATGAACTGTCGCTTAACCAATGGAAAATACTTCCAAATAGATGATTACTATGTGTTTGTGATGATTGATTAGTTTTTGATCTTAAGATCAGTTCCTCCTGCAACATTTCAGTTAAGTGTTATTAAGCAATAAGCAACCAAACTTGACATTCTACCCTAATAACGTAAACAGTACATTACAAGTTCAAGTTTACCTTATAATAGGCTTTAAGCACTGCACATCAATTGACTTCCTTGAAATGTGACTGACAATGTTCATCATCAAGTCGAAATGTCTGCCGACATTTTTGCGGCTTGTTGGGATTGGTTCCTTTTATCTGCAAGAAAACGAACAAATCCAATAAGATCAAATCCATGAAACTTAAAGGAAACAACAGTATTTAAAGAAGAGGCATCTCTTGAGACTAGTATAATTCCAAGATACTGTGGGGGAATATCACAGTCACAGAGGTATAAAATAAGTTACATTTGATGGATTCATAAACCTATGAATAAAAGAGGAAAAATACATAGCAGCAATAACAAGAAATAGTGATTAAAACACCATTCGGGAAGAGAATACATTAAACATGGTATCCTGTCAGTAGTGAAAACTTGAAGCAGACAGAAACAGTATTGGAAAAGCGTTAAAATATCATTGTATCCAAAGGAAAACCAGAATTTCACTCAAAATAAGGTTACCATAAGAAAGGCTTACTGAAAAAATGGCTTCTTTTTTTTCCGTTTAAAAACAATCATGGAACTATGCTCTAATTGACAAGGTACATGAATATTCAAGTATATACAATACTCCAAAAAACACTATGCAGCTTAATCATAGTATACTCTTTTAATAGCAAATGAAAGTGTAGAAATGGGATCATAGGAGATCAGGAGACCACGGGTGGTGTAAAATTATTGAAAATAAGTGCTTCAATCCAGAGACACTGGTCCATTACTGTTACATGCACAGAAAGTTATCCCTTAATTCCACCCCAGTTCCCTGTTTAAACCCTCTGCCATGAGACATTATGACGGAGATGACAGACAGAAATGTCTCTCTTTCATGAGACACCATTAACTAACAACAACTCAAGTGTTGCCCATGTCCTTCAATTACCTGACCTCCAAAACCGTACACTGACATGCAGATCCAACAATAAGATTCTCAGATTCATAATATGCAAAGCATTCAATTAACCTACATCAGGTGAAAAGAAAACAAACTGGAAGAACTAACTAAGGAAACGTAGTAGGATCAACAAACGACAAAAATAATTGTAAAAAGAAATGGCTGAAAGCTGATGCTTTTTACCCTCAAAGCCTCATGTAAATTCTTTTCTGACGTCTCTTCTCTGTTTTTTCAATGCTTTCATGATGGGTGCATTGCAGCAAGTTTCCCATCTAAAGCGTCCACTGCAAACTAAAGGCAACAAAATACACTAGTAAACACCAATCAGAGAAAAGAAAAGCAACGCCTACTGCAAAAATGAGACTAGAAATTCAACTTACCCTGTTCAATGCAATAATAAATTCTTCTGCCTCTTTCTCAAGAAGTCCAGTGATTGTATGTTTGTGGTTTCAAACCGTCCATAATGTCAACAACCAAAATTGCAACATACATAGCCCTAACCCCGTGACCTTTGGTTAGAAAAAGATTCATGACCAGGGGTAATAGACATTCTAATACAATCTAGTAACTTGTTTTACCAAGTCAACATAGCCCATAATGCGCAGATTGGCGAGCGAAGGTTTTCTTCAACCAGTTTAGAGGTTGCTTATCTTTTTCTTTTTCTGCAGCACCCGCTAACAATGAAAATACGGTAATAGAACTATCCTTTTTTTTTTTTTTCTCTGAGAACACATAATGTGGAATATTAAACTGTAGTCTGCGTATATTAATGAAGATAATAGTGGAATAGCTGTGCAATCTTTTGTCTAACAATCTGGACAGTTTCGAATGTAATTATTATAGTTGTTTAGACTTCATCTGCTAAACACTTACTTTTTTAGAATTTCTATAGTTATTTTTATATGTCGATGATTGAATTTTATACTTATCCTGAACTACCAACCACTTGACTGAGACTGCATGCCTAAATTAGCGGGGGCGACGGTATTCTTTCTTCATCAATCATCGCCTTAATCACCCATCTTCTATATTTCATTAATCTCTCCCTTATATATAAAAACTTCCCTCTTAACATAGTCTCAAGACTAGAGGTATATAAAGTTTACAAGGAAAGGTAATCAGAAGAAAATCACCCAAACTAGGAAGGAAATATAAACATATCTAAGCTGTATAAGAAATTAAAAAGGATACAATCACACAAAATAAGCTCATAACAATTAGAGAAGGTTGGATGCATATCAACAAGATTACGTTAGAGATCTCTAACAAGGTAAACTAGTATAAATTTTCTTATATTTTCATTTATCTGGAGAAAAATGGGTTTGTGTAGTGTTGTTGTAGCCTCTGCTTGTGTTATTTTGGTGGCATTTGTTATCATCACTCCCTCAGTTGGTGTCACCCAATCTGTCATTTCTTCCATTTGTAGCCAAACTCAGAACCAAGAAATTTGTGAGAGCATATTACTGAGTGACAATCGTACAAACTCTGCTGACCTCCCTCTACTCTCACTTATATCAATCGAGCTAGCCATGAAACAAGTTGACAAGAACTGTCAAGCTTTCTGTCAGTTTCATGACAACACTACTGATCCGGGATTGAAGATTTCTTTTGAAAATTGTGTAAGAATTTACCAAAATATGAAAAACATTATCCGAAAATATTACAAGCTGTCACAACAGAAACAGTATAAGAGCATTTGTGATTTGGGAAAGTTGACAACATTGGCTTACGATTGCGAGAATGGCCTCCCTTCAAACTCACCAACTGCTGCTATCACTGAAGATATGCTCCTTCATGCACAAACTGTAGCCTATACCAACTCATTTGTTGCCGGCTCTTAGTGGTTTTTTTTTTTTTTTTCCTTAATTAGTCTTTGTTAATTTTGTTCATAAAGTAACAGTATCTATAAAAATGTACATTCATGATGATGCTTTGTCAAACTAGGAATTGAATTTTCTGATTCAGTGTTGAAATTTTCTTCTGAGAAGAGTTTTTATAGAAACATCACTGAATTGCATGATTCTTGAGGCCTGGTTACAGAATATGCAGTGGTAAACTACTTGCTATCGATGACATTAAGCAGCCAGACTTGTATCGATCGAAACCGTAACTATCAACCAATATATTATTGAGAAATTGTAGTAATAATAAACATCTAACTAGGGAGATAAAGTAAATTGCAGTTGGCAGCTAAAGTTTATAGTCGATGAAGAAGAGACGTGGCCAACAAGTGGCAAGCTGACACGATTAACATAAACCATCTCATCAACATTTGTCACATTCTGCTCAAGGAAAACGAAATCAATGAAACACACACAAGAATATTACATTTACAACATTAAGGATAATAAACTCCATTACTTAGTCCAGCAGTAAGGACGAACCAAGGCGGCTGTAAATGGTCCAACCCATAATCCTAGGTTTGATTTTCTGTTGGGTGCAAAGTTAGTACCTTTGTCCAGCAGGTGATTATATTGTTTGTGGTTTCAAACCATCCATAACGTCAACAAACAAAATTGCAATATCACATAGCTCTGAACCCCGTGACCTTAGGTTAGAAAAAGATTCATGACCAGATAATAGACCTGGGACCTTCAGTTTCGCATCAGCTTTCCTCTCTGTTAGAATTAGAAGCAATACAAGTAGTAATCATCTACTTGGAAGTAATTATCCATTGGGTTAAGCGACAAGTTCATGTACAATAAATCGTTTTGCTGATATTAATTTAATATAACCAGCATTAAGAAAAGGAGGAAGAACAAAAATCCTCTTCCTCCTGATAACAATCTTAAAATGGAGGTTCTCCTCCTCCCAGGAAAGGAAGACCACCACAACTTAACCGATTAAAAAAATCGAAAAAGAAAAAATTATACTCCTATAAACAAGAAACGTGAATCCATTTAAAAAAAAAACCTGGATCTTCATTCTTCATTGAGAATCCGCAACCGCCAAGCGGCGGATGGGACGGTGATATATTGGACAACACCAGCATCCGATAACGCTGCCATTAATTGTTCCAAGGTCACTGGCTCTGCTTCAGGCGCAGTTTGATTGGTTGATGTTTTCATTATAAATTCTCTCCTTAACCGTTAGATCAATTCGATGCCATACGTAGAGTCCGATTTCTTTGGGACTAGAGAGTGCATGCAGGCTAAGTCAAGTCTTAAAAAAAAACCACGTTTAACATATAAGATGACATCGTATGCTACCATAATTTTGCTCCCTCCACCCCTAGAAAAATCAATTAGTTAACTACCATTTAATTACAATTATATTTAACATAATCGGACACACCCAAAATCCTGTATAAACATCCCACCACCGGTCCACCACCCTGTCCTTCATCAACTCATGATCAGAGCAATCTTCAAACCTTAAAAACAATCTTTCAAAGCTTTTTCCAAAGTTCCATTTCTTCAAACTTTTCAATATGGCTCCTACCATCACCCCCACCACTGTCACCAAAACCACCCCTCTCTCCAAGGCTCCAAGCCTGTCAAGCCGTGCATATGTGACGTTCGTGGCAGGTAACTGGGACTATTGGAAGGAAGTGATTGGGTTGACCAAAGGATTGAGGAAGGTGAAAAGCAGTTACCGGCCTCTTGTTGTTGCGATTTTGCCAGACGTTCCTGAAGAGCAGAGGAAGATTCTGGTGGATCAAGGCTGTATTGTGAGAGAGATCAAGCTTGTGTATCCTCCTCGGAACCAAACTTAATTCGCCGTGACTTATTATGGCATCAACTACTCCAAGCTTCGTATTTGGGAGGTATGTATTCTAATATAACTGCATGTGTTGTACGTAAAGCTATCGAACAGGACCAGCCCCTTTGCTCATTTTTTTTGATAAATATGGATGGTTTGAAAAAATCGACTAGTAAAAACAGTCAAATACTAGTGATAAAAAAGTTACCACAAACTATAGTTTTACGTAACACATGACATGCAGTTATATTAGTATAACGTACCTCCCAAATACGAAGCTTGGAGTAGTTGATGACATAATAAGTCATGGCGAACTGAGTCTGATTCTGAGGAGGATACACAGGCTCGATCTCTCTCACAATACAACCTTGATCCACTAGAATCATCCTGGCAAAATCGCAACAACAAGAGGATTTTCTTCTCTTCACATGCTCCAAGCCTGTCAAGCCGTGCACATGTGACGTTCTTGGCAGGAACGTGCAGAGCCAGTGAGCGTCCGTGTCTTCTCACAGAAACAGTCCATCACTGCATTGACCATCTCTTCGCTTTGACATGGCTGATGGTTATTTCTACGCTGTGATGGACTGTTTCTGTGAGAAGTCATGGAGTCACACTCCTCATTAAACTATTGCTTCATGTCTTCTCACAGAAATAGTCCATCACGGTATTGACCATCTCTTCGCTTTGACACTGATGGTTATTTCTACGCTGTGATGGACCGTTTCATGTTTCTCGTGTATAGGAGTAAAATTTATTGTACATGAACTCGTCGCTTAACCCAATGGAAATTAATTCCAAGTAGATGATTAGTAATTTAGTATTTTGTATTGGATAACTGACTATGTTTTTGATAATCTTTCCCTTCATCAAAATTCAAGGGTGATTTGCAATATTATTATCTTATTTGAAAGCAATAATACCCTCTGTTGTTACAGAATTTTGCATCAATCAGCGAGATCTGATCGACCTTACTAGGATCGGAACCGATGTGTATGTGGTTAAAGATAATGAGCGATGATGTAAAAAGATGCAATAAAATTAAAGGCAATGAGAGTTTTTAAAGTGATTCGGCGAGATTAACTCTGAAGCCTATGTCTACTGTTTTTGTATTTGCTGTGAGAGCTTATAATGTAATTCTTATGAAATATTCTTAACCCCCTCCTCCCCGTTTGAGGAGGTTTTATATACAAGATTTATATAAAGGAAGGAGCGAAATTAAGGGGATTACAATTTATTTGAATCGCAATTCCGATATTCTCGCGATTGGGCGCTGTGATTGCGCATTGATCGTTGTTGATCTAGTCATTCCCACAATATCTGGGATCTGAAGTAATCCGGAGATCGATTGAATGAGCACTCGGATTGCTCGTGACTAGCTTATACTGTGTCGAGCTATGGCTCGATGAGCTTCTGCTGGGTCGATCAGTTAACGTTGCCGAGCTGGTTCTAGGTCAAACTATATATTCGCAATGACCCGAGCTTGGCGGAAAAACCGCACACAACACCCTCCTTGACCTTTTCAAAAGCAACAAGAATCTCCCCTAAAAATCAATGTACCTTTATCTTAATTGCAACACCCTGATCAAGATTTTAATTGCTCTTAAAGCTATATCAACATCTGCTAGTTTAAAATCAGATTTTTTTTTTTTTTTTTTTTTTTTTTTTTGGGGTATAAGTAATAAGATGCAATTGACTTTGATATGTGTCATCATTGTCAATATGAATTCCCGCATTTGACTTTGATATGTGTCAATATGATTTCCTTTTATTTTTGTTGAAAAATCCATGAGATTATTATTATTATTATTATTTTGGTTTTTCTAGCGTAGCTTATAATATTTAAACTCCCTTCCTTATTATCAATCCAAAAATAACAGTAAAAAAAACTTTAAAAACATAAAGAAAATAGATAATTTAAGACACAAAAGAGATTAAAAAAATCACAAAAAATTGTGTGATATCAAACTTGTTAAGGACTAACACAATACTTCAGTATCTTTTAAAACAAAATTTACTCGATTGTATATACGACCATTCATTAATTATATACTCTATGTATCTCGAAATTTTTCTTTATCAGCCGAGCCAATTTATGTGGATAATATGTCTACAATAAAATTGGTTAAAAATCCAGTACAACATGGGAGAAGTAAACATATTGACACCGGATTCCATTTTATTAGAGATCATCACTACAAGAAAAACTACATTCTGCAACCAATTTTTTAGCAACTAACCAGAATTAGTTGCAAATAGGCTACATTTACCAACTAAATTGCCATTGGTCGGGCAAAGAGCAACTCAATTTGGGGGTCCACATGTTCCAACTTTTGGCGTCTAAAGTTAATGTTGTGCGACTATTTTGTTAGTTGCAGAACAAGTTACGTTAGTGACTAATAAATTTAGTTGCAATTTTTGGTGAGCCATTTTTCCCTCCATAATTTGACAATTTGCATCTAAAATATTTGATTTTGCATCTACATTATTGGTTACAAATTATTTTTTTTTGCAACTACCCATTAGTAGCTAAATTAGTTGCAATTAATTAAGAATGTATTAGTAACTATTATGATTAGTTACAGAAAAATTAAATTACCAAAATATCCCATATTTGGACAATAATTACAAGGGCCCCAAGGCATTTTTAGCAACAAATGTTTATGTTCATATTAACAATAGTTGCAAAAAAATATATACAGCAACTAAATTCGGTTTAGTTGCCAATTTAAGTTGAAAAATTAATCTTCCCTCCAAATTATTTGTTCCCGCCAGACTTGCAACTATATCTAATTCTTTCATGACTAAAAATTTAGTTGCAAATTGATTTGTTTGCAAAATATAATTATATTGAAAAATTAAACAACTAATTACAAGCCTTACTTTTTAAAGTTATTTACAGAAAACCCTAACCTATATAAAGCAAGCCTTTCCCCAAACTCCCAATCTTCTCCACGCAAATCCCTACCTATTTCCCCAAATTCCCAATCTCATAACCTTACCTACCTCTTCTCTTCTCCACGCAAATCCCTCCCTGTTTCCCCAAATTCCCAATTTCTTCTCCACGCAAATCCCTGGCGATTACCCCAATAGGTTATATGTTTGTCAACCATATGCCAATTTTTGTCATGACCCATTTTTG